CCATTTATAAACGCTTAAAACAGAGGTTAGATCTCTTTATTCCTAAAGGTATTAATGTCAAATAAAAAACAAAGAGAAATTTTCGCATGAGTTCTAAATCATATATCATTAGTAGGCTTGTATCGTTCAGAGTTCGTAGATGAATGATAAATTCAACTAGCTTTAAAATCTGAAGTTTACTGTAAAATGGTTTTTTACTTGAATGGATAGGGATTATCAGGACAAATTAAAAGGCGGGGATTAATGCTTTAAACCAGATGATAGGATTGCACATTAAGACCTGTGGCGTAATCTGTAAGAACGACAGATGTATTTTGAAATAACACTATAATAAAGACTAAGGTTAAGGAAACAAATATTGAAAAGGCTTTCTAAGCAACTCTGCCATGAAATTTTATCGATTCTAAAAATAAGCTAACATCAAGAAGCCATTTTTCAAACTTCCCCAGCGCAGGACTATTATCTGGCATAAAAGAATCCAGAGCTACCTCAAATTACGTAAATTATTGCTGATAGTTTTAAAGTAGGTATGCTTGTAGGGATATTTACGGCCCACAAATTGCTTAATGCCTCGACTTGCGGCAACTACGAGGACCTCTACTCACGATTAGTAACTATCACAACGGTCGCCAAAGTTTTGCTAAACAGAATTAACCTACAAGTGGAGTCGATTACACTTGATTATATGTGTTCAGTCCGCAGCCCGACTATGAATTTAGCACAAGTATTTAGATGTCCTCCGAATAAATAATTTTTTAGCAAAATCATTTCTTTTCATATTTAAAAGGCACCTTAATAGTTGTTGCTTTTGCGACTTTATTTTCAAAGCTCAGCTGAGATTAGAGTGGATCTATGCCTATAAATGTCTTTTGCAGCCGTTACTAGAAATTTTTAAGTTCGTATTTTGATATTGTTTGAATAAACTCTAGCACATTACTACTCATGATGAGCTGTATAAGAATAGAGTCTTGGAAATGACGAAATGTTTAAATTACCTCATATGCTTTTGGTAACTAGTCCACTTCCAATATCCATTCCTCTGGAAATCTCGCTCTTTAAATGGATGATTTTGGCAAAATCAACTCTTAAGTCTGTGCCAGTAATTTCTAATTCAACGCTAAATTTAATTCCAACTTTGGCTAACAGTCCACTACTTCAAGCAATAAGCTAACCACACACACTCACAAAGAGTTTTCTTCATATCTTTTGCCCAAGAATTTTACTTTTACACAAACTAATACAATGCTGATTATGCACGTATACAATTATAATACCACTACCATATGCGAATCAGTATAATCTAGAATAATCTTAGTGTATCGTCCCGAAATTTTCATTGCGGATAAGTTTTATTAAGCTAAGAAAAATCCTTCTTCATAATGGGATAGACCTCTTCAATTTGCACTTCAAATCATCATCAAGCCAAATGATAGATTTATCTATCGGGAAATTCATCGAAACCCAGAATTACTTATTAAGGTTCTGAAATTGTATACACCCCTATGTCACTAATATTAGAGAATATTTCTAAAGTGCTCTCTTACGTGAAAGTTTGATGACTCGACTTTCCTTTTTCTTTAGTTTTTCCAGTTTTTCCATACGATTTGTTGCTATTTACTTAGAACCTTTCTACACATGATTCTTGTTTAAGGCGATAGTCAAAGCTCTTCCAACGCTTTGATTTCATCTGGTTCGAATTTGCTTTCAACGAAGGCCATGTCGACGTCGTCGCTTGCGACATCCGTCGTTTCTTCGTCCAGTCAACCTACTTCGTCTTCTGTCGCCTCTTCTCTTCCGCCAGTTAGCTCTACGCCTGCTCCATCAGCAGGTGTCGGAGGATCTGCAATTGCAATCTCTCTAGGAGGCGGACAGGCTGGTCTGCAAGGTTATCAGCCTAATTCTGCCGAAGCGCGTTCAGCACATCTTTATCTTTCCCAGAGAGCTGTATGCCGTGAGGCTAGGATTGAGCAAGAGCGCTTCTATCTGGATGTGAGTGCTGAAGATTGACATTTGCACAAAATTCTTCAGTTTTAATTAGTTTGAGTTGTCCAAATCTATATAGTTTTTACAATCTCTGTCGTTTGAGAATAAATTCAGTAATTTTTAAACGCATTTTTTGGCCCTGGGATATTTAATTATTTTTGCCAGGATAACTATTCTTTGGCCACTAACTTACCTTCATCTATGACTAACTATTTGCACGGTACATTGTATTCTAAATATTATCTAAAAGCACCTCAGCGCATAATGAGAACTTTGTTTAAGCATATATATATATAATTTTAGCTCAGCCTATCATTTTTCATAGTGAATAGCCATTTAACTGTTAAAATATGTGTATAAATGATCACAAATAGCTTGCAGTCATTCTGCTTTAGCCCTCACGTCACAGATTTTCCACACATTCGTTGAGACTGGATATATCATTTCAACAAAGGCCTTTCTCCACCAGTCTTTCTTTCTCACATGCAGATCCATGTCTCCTAAACCCCAAGCCTGCTTAGGCTCTGTCCACCGATTGTCCTCATCACCATCTTGATCTGGCTCATCCTCCGTGACCTCCGACCAACCACATTCTCGTCAACTGGCGCCGTCGGTTAGACATTTGCCTTTTGGGTGGCCGCATTCACTCAGCATCATTTCAGTGCAAAATGCCCCAACTCTCGAGTTCTTTTCTTTTCCAGGGTCTCCATAATCTAGGCAGCAAAAGGAAGTTGTTTGTACAAACTTCAAATTAATGCCACATCTCCACGAGGCGATACTGCGCAGCACCACCTCAGTTCCCTTGTTTCATGTCCTCGTATTATTACCTGGACGATCCCGATCATTTTTATTTATACGATCGCCTCTACTAAGCCCTACTCTTTACGGCCTTTTGATTGCATTCTCATGTATTCTATCCTGACATTCGTTCTCTAGTATTTTACATCTTCGTACATTAGTTCAGGTTGTACCAAGCTAAATTTATAATAGAGAATCGCTCTTACTACACTTAAATCTTCTTATAAACCGACCAACTCGTAGGATTTCTTTAGAAATGTGGTCCAGTATGAGGCTGGGAAAATACATGCCCGCGTGGTTGCAAATTAGTGATAGTGGATTGACTGAGAACTTCATTACAAAATGTCTCGTCTAAGTCAGCCATCAGATATAAACGGAGAATGTGTGCGGAATAATTTTCGCTACAAGACACGTCTGTCTCCTGATTAGAAAGGCGGCTGAGATAAGATTGATAAACATCTTGCTTTGTTCACAAAATACACATTTAGTTTGTTTATACTCGTCTTGGAGTTAGAGTCATTCGATTTCATTATTTGTTTCACTTCATTTTTAACCGTTTGGCTGAATGAGGTAGTTTGTTATAAATAAAAGTTGTGCTTGATGAATGAAATTTGGTTTGTTAATGTTATATGACAAGCATCGAAATGAATCTCTATGTATGTAGTTAGGTTTTTATATATTTATTGAGGAAAATTCATTTTTCCTTACGATATATATGCATAATCCATCTATTCGGAAGCATTAGATTACTAGCTTACCGAAAAAATCCCTACCCTTCGATCTCCCATTATTTTTTACTATTTAACCACTTTATTGTCAATAAGCCTCAATTTTCTTTTATTCACATTCTCGAAAGTCTCATTCTAGCCAAATAATTAAATTAGACTTTTTGATTAGTCTTTATTCCTACAAACAAGGTTGCCCGATTTTTCTCTTATACTAGCCGGACTTAATGAGCTCTTTTCCAGGTCTTTCAGAAACCCTGCATATCTATTTGGCTTTGATGTTATTGCATATATTAACTTTGTTGAAACCAATCATGAATAACTTTTCGTTCTTACCAGATAATCCTAATTTTTTTTTATTACTCTTAAATAGATTAGTCTGCTATTTAACTAAAACCAATACAGCATATAACTTTACACTCATTTAGTAGTATTATTCAGTAGTACTTAATACAAACATCTTTATATCAAGCTGAATTATAACTAATCGACTTACCTCCGTCTTTTCTTACATATGAACAAACTTATTCATGAATACACGCATGTGTCTTAATTTTTTGGCTTCCAGTTGCCATTTCACCCTATAACCGAAGTTTGCAGACAAATATTACCTAGATGAATTGAATTACTCTATCAAAATGACAAATTAAATCAGTTCGTTATTAATGACAGGATAAAAATTTGAATATTAACTTTTCTTACTTTAACATTGCACTGAAATAGGCTAACTTTTCGTGCGATCTGGTTTGATACAATAGTTATGCAATCGTTAACTTACATATTCATAAATAAAACATTTGATTCTTTTTAGATTCGGATTTCTGGATTATTAGCTACGAAATTCTTAAAGTTAGCTTCAATTTCCTCACTGATATCTTTTTCTATTTCTATTTTAATTTACATTAAAAGTTGCATTAAAAAGCTATTTAGTTTTGTATGCTCAGAATCTCACGGATCGTTTCTCGATTCACTCCTTTTATCCCCATAAGTTGTTC